TTGGAAAAAGAAACAGTGATGTCTTCTACACAGTAACTTTAACCGTTGCATTATTAGTGAGCCTACTTATAGACTTTATTAGTTCTAGGTCTTTTATAGCTATGTTTTCTCCTTCAATGTCTAGCACAGTGCTTCCTAAGGACACAGGAACAAAAACAGCATCTCTACTCTTAGTAAGGGCAACTCTTTGATGGTTCATGAGAAGTATTCAATACATGTTTACAGAAGGAAAGAAGGGACTGAGAAAAGACTAGATCATGTTTGATAAAAAAAATAATAATACATTTAGCAAAGCTGAATTAAGTCGCCTCACTCTCAAATGTTTACCTACCGGTAGGGGATTTAGTTACTACAGGGAGTATCCCTTATACAAAATGCTTGAAACTAGAAGTGTTCCACAACTCAGATATTTTCAAATTTTGGAATATTTCTGTATACATGCGATATCACAGTGATAAGGATCCAACTCTAAACACAAAATTGGTTTACATTTCCTATACACCTTATACACATAGCCTGAAGGTAACAATTTTATACAATATTTTAAATAATTTTGTGCAGAACACAAAGTTTTCATTGTGTTTTGACTGTGACTTATCACATGTGATCAGGGGTGAAATTTTCCACCTGCGACATTATTTCATTCTTCAAAAAGTGCTGAATTTTGAAGCATTTTGGATTACAAATTTTCAGCGTAAGGATGTTCAATTTGTACCACTTCACACATATTCTATGAGAGGAAACATTTGGATTTCTCTTTCAGCCAGTTTTAAAAGTCACAAAAAGCAATAAAATATGGCAGGTACTACAAAGACAGAGCAATAATTATATATTATCTTATATTCTGAAGAAGTGAAATAACTTATTAAAAATTTCCAATGTAAACTGAGACAGAATTAAAATACTGTATTCCTAATTCCAAAATTAAATTATATTGATTTTTAACCTGGGATGAGAAAAATAAAATTCAGAAGCTGTTTTCAAAAACTTGATTTCAGTTTTTTCAATCTATGGCTAAGTGAAAAATGAGTATCTTTGAAACCACAATGAAATCTTATAAGTGAAGAATAAGTACATGAGAAAATCTTCAGAAAAAAAAATGGGTGCTTTTTCTAAGAAACTGTTGAACTAAGATGGTAAGCTATTAGAATTGTAAGATTAGGAAATTATTCAAAAACTTTCCAATTTTAACTTTTTATTCTCAGTATCTATATAAGCTTATAGAAGCTATTTCTTATTTTTATTTTTTATTAGATAGGTTTGCAGCTGTCAAAAGTTTTCCTTGAACTTTCTATATTCTGAGAATCTTCACAAAATAATGAAAGTTCTCAGCAACAAAACAAACACATCAAACAACAAAACAAACACATCACACACATACACATACACATTCACACACACACACACACACACACACACACACACACACAGACACACACACTCACATGGTTTGGCTGTGTCCCCAACCAAATCTCATCTTGAATTGGAAATCCCACAATTCCCATGGATCATGGGAAGAACCCAGCGAGGTAACTGAATTATGGGGGCATCTCTTTCCTGCACTGTTCTCATGATAGTGAATGAGTCTCACAACATCTGATAGTTTTTAAATGGGAGTTTCCCTGCACAAGCTCTCTTTGCCTGCTGTCATCCATGTAAGATGTGACTTGCTCCTCCTTGCCTTCTGCCATGACTGTGAGGCCTCCCCAGCCATGTGGAAATATTGCCCAGTCTTCTAGGGTATATCTTTATCAGTAGAATGAAAACAGACTAACACAGTAAACTGGTACCAGTATAGTGGGGCGTTACTGAAGATACCCAAAAATGTGGAAGTAACTTTGGAACTGGGTACTGGCAGAAGCTGAAACAGTTCGGAGGGCTCATAAGATGGGAAAATGTGGGAAAGTTTGTAACTCCCTAGAGACTTGTTGAATGGCTTTGCCCAAAATGCTGATGACACAAACAATGAAATTCAGGCTGAGGTGGTCTCAGATGGAGATGAGGAACTTGTTGGAAACTGGAGCAAAAGTGACTCTTGTTATGATTCAGCAAAAAGACTGGTGGCATTTTGCCCCTGCCCTAGAGATGTGTAGAACTCTGAACTTGAGAAGGATGATTTAGGGTATCTGGTGGAAGAAATTTCTAAGAAGCAAAGCATTCAAGAGGTAACTTGGGTGCTGTTAAAGGCATTCAGTTTTAAAAGGGAAACAGGACATAGAAGTTCAGAAAATTTGCAGCCTGACAAGGCAATAGAAAAGAAAATCCCATTTTCTGAGAATTCAAGCCAGCTGCAGAAATTTGCATAAGTAACAAGCAGCTGAATGTTAATTCCACAGACAATAGGGAAAATGTCTCCAGGGCATGTCAGAGGTCTTCATGGCAGCCCCTCCCATCACAGGCCTGGAGTCCTAGAAGGAAAAGGTAGTTTCATGAGCCAGGTCCAAGGTTCTGTGCTGTGTGCAACCTAGGGACTTGGTGCCTTGCATCCCAGCCACTGCAGCTGTGGCTGAAAGGGGCCAACATAGAGCTCAAGCCATGTCTTCAGACGGTGCAAGCCTCAGGTCTTGGCAGCTTCCATGTGGTGTTGAGCCTGTGAGTGCACAGAAGTCAAGACTGAGGTTTAGGAATCCCTGTCTAGATTTCAGAGGGTATATGGAAATGCCTGGATTTCCAGACAGAAGTTTGCTGCAGGGGCGGGGCTCCCATGGAGAACCTCTGCTAAGGCAGTGTGGAAGGGAAATGTGGGGCAGGAGCTCCCACACAGAGTCCCTACTGGGGCACCGCCACCAGAATGGTAGACCCATCAACAGCTTGCACTGTGCACCTGGAAAATCTACACTCAACGCTAGCCCGTGAAAGCCACCAGAGGATGTACCCTGCAAAGCCACAGGGGTGGAGCTGCCCAAGACCATAGGAACCCACCTCTTGCATCAGTATTACCTGGATGTGAGACATGGAGTCAAAGGAGATCATTCTGGAACTTTAAGATTTGACTGCCCCACTGGATTTCGGACTTGCACGAGGCCTGTAGCCCCTTTGTTCTGGCTAATTTCCCCCATTTGGAATGGCTGTATTTATCCAATGCCTGTACCCCCATTATATCTAGGAAATAACTTGCTTTTGATTTTACAGGCTCATAGGTGGAAGGGACTTACCTTATCTCAGATGAGATGTTGGACTGTGGACTTCTGAATTAATGCTGAAATGAGTTAAGACTTTGGGGGACAGTTGGGAAGGCATGATTGGTTTTGAAATGTGACATGAGATTTGGGAGGGGTCAGGGGCAGAATGATATGGTTTGACTGTGTCCCCACCCAAATCTCATCTTGAATTGTAACTTCCACAATTCGCACATGTCATGGGAGGAACCCAGTGGGAGGTGACGGAATTACGGGCGTGGGTGCTTCCTGCACCGCTCTTGTGATAGTGAGTGAGTCTCTGATAGTGAGAGCTGATGGTTTTAAAAATGGGAGTTTCCCTGCACAAGCTCTCTTTGCCTGCTGTCATCTACAGAAGATGTAACTTGTTTCTCCTCACCTTTTGCTATGTTTGTGAGGCCTCCCCAGCCATGAGAAACTGTAAGTCCAATAAACCTTACACACACAAACACACACACAGACATACAAATCCCTACACAAACCCCCACACACCCACTGAAAACCCTAAGAAATTTCCACAGAAAATCTCCCTGGGGTGGCAAAAGATTAAAAGTAAGCAACTATCATTTAAGAAACACACCAACTACTATAATACATAAGTATTATTACAGACTATCAAAGGAAATAAGCAGAGATAGGGGATATATGATCAATGCCTGAGATAAATGTGCTCTAGAAACTACAGACATCGAGTTACTGTTGTTCAATTACTAAGCATTTTACATTTTAAAATCTACAGTCAGACATTATATAAGTTTTTTTAATGTCTATTTTTAAAGAAATACTTGCCAAATAAGAGAAAAACTTCATGTATCTTTATTGTGTTAATATAACAATTTCTCCTCCTATAAAAGAAAAAAAACTCAACCTGGTTTTTGTTTAAAAATTTTAAAAATACTTATTTTCTTTTAGCAGGCATATGTGTGCATGGAAATAATGACATAAAACATTAAAATGACTGACATATTATCTAAAGTCTCTCTGTAACTTTTTAGTTAAAAGGTTAAGTCTGAGGAAAGCTATTATGGCAATAAACCATAATGTTCTCAACATTAAAAACAGAATTCATTAGCGTATTTTTCAAACAAATACTACTATATAGGTATCTTTAGAACAAATAATCTATCCAATAAACTAATATACTTGTTCAAAAGTACACTAAATTAAAAGGGTATGTTTCTTCTTATTCATGTATAAGACAGAAAAAAGCAAAAACAAAATAAAATGTCTTCATTAATTCCATATACTAATTACTGAAATGGCTTCATTTTTCATTAAGACAACTAAAAAGTAACTGCACAAATTAAACAATTTAGTATTTCATAAACTTCAAAATATTTTATGCAAACACATAGTCTACTCTTTCCAAATCATAACTAGCCCCTTTTCTAATAAGATATCTTCTAGAAGTCTTTTTTTTTTTTTTTTTTTGAGGTGAAGTCTTGCTCTGTCGCCCAGGCTAGAGTGTAGTGGCGCAATCTCAGCTCACTGCAACCTCCGCCTCCCAGGTTCAAGGAATTCTCCTGCCTCAGTCTTCTGAGTAGGTGGGATTACAGGCACGTGCCACCACGCCTGGCTAATTTTTGTATTTTTAGTAGAGATGGGGTTTCACCATGTTGGTCAGGCTGAGAAGTCAAATTTTATTGGAGAGTCTTAAATCTATTTAAAATAAAATGTGGCCTATCACGTACTATTTAAAATTAAAAATAAAAATATCTTTCAATTAAAAATTAAAAATATAAAACCTAGTTCCTTATGTATCTTTCCATTATTTCCTCAATTAATTAATTTTACCTTTTGAATTAAACTTTAAATTTTTTTCAAGACAATCTGCCAACTTACAGTGTTAGTTGGATCTTCTTGTAAAATCCTATCATATAGCTGTACAGCATCATCATATCTATTTAAAAAGAAAAAGAAACATCTATAATTATTACCTTAAAAATATAGTGATAAATAGTAAATACAGAAAAAAATTAAACCGGCTTTAATCTTTTAATTTAAATGCATTTATAATTGCTTTAAACGCATTTATAATCGTTACCAAAGTCTTCCATCTTCATATAACAGTAAACGTTTACTACAGTTTTATTTTGTTAAGTAAAGCAGATCATGTATATAGTACTTACAGAAAATTTCCCTTAAAAAAATACTGACTCAATTTGTCCAAAGTACAAAAGTAACAACTAGCCACACATAGCCAAACTATGAAGAGACATAACAAGCACCAGGAGACCAGATGTAGATATGGTAGAAGTATTGGCATAAACAGACCAGGAATTTAAACAATGATACGTATTTTCACGACTCTAATGCAAAAAGTAAACAAGATGCAAAAACAGACGGGTAATGTAAACAGAGATGGAAACTGTAAAAAAGAATCAAAAGATAATACTGGAAATCAAAAACAATGCAAGCGAAATGATGAATGCCTTTGATGGTCTTGGGCTTATCAGTAGATTGGGCATAACCCAAAAGAGTCAGGAGGTTGAAGAATTATCAATACAAACTTTCAAAACTGAAATAAAAAGAGAAAAACAATAGAACACAATATCCAAGAAGTGTGTACGATTACAAAAGATGTAACATATATGTAATGGAATACTAGAAGGAAAAAAGAGAGAAATATAGAAAACATTTGAAAATTTTCCCAAACTTACGATAGACACAAAACTACAGATCCAGTAAGCTCTAAGATCATCAAGCACAATACCAAAAAATCTATACCTACACATATTCAAATTACAGAAAATCAAAAACAAAGAGAAAATCTTAAAAGATGCCAGAAGAAAAAAACACATTACTTATACAGGTACAAGGATAAGCACTACATCAGACTTCTCTTCAGAAACCATGCAAACAAGAAAAGAGTAAAGGGAAATATTTAAAGTGTTCTGAGAGAAAACCAACTTAGAATTCTGTATCCTGAGAAACTGCCCATTAAATGTGACAGAGAAACATACTCCAGAAAAACAAAACTTAAAGCAATTTGCTGTCAGCAGACCTGCCTTTCAAGAAATGTTAAAAGCAGCTCTTCAGAGAAAAGGAAAATAATATTGGTTAGAACCTTTGGAAGTTTCTAATATATAAAAAAAGAAAGATCATTAGAAAATGAATAAATAAAGGTAAAATAAAATTTTTTTCTTATTCTTAATTGATCAGATAAGTTTTCTCAAAATAGTAACAGCAACAATGTATTTTGTGATTATGATTTATGAATAAGTGAAATGAATGAAAGCAGTGCTACAAATGACAAAAGAGAAGAATTAAAAATACTCTGTTGTAAGAGATTTGCCCTAACTGTGAATCAGTATAGTGTTACTTAAAAGTGGACTTGGATAGTTCTAAATACACATTGCAATCACTCAGACAGCTATTTAAAAAATTTAAAAAGAAGTATAACTGATATACTGAGAGAAAGAAAATATGAAATTCTATAAATGCTCAATTAAATCAGAGAAGGCAGAAAATGACAAAAGAAAAAATAAGATCAATAGAAAATAGTTATGAATATGGCAGATAATGAAACAACTATATTAATAATCACTTTAAATGTAAATGGTCTAAGTATACCAATGAAAAGACAGAGACTATCAAAGTGGATTTAAAAACATGACCCAACTAAATGCTGTCTACACAAAACCCTCAAAATACAAAGATACAACAGAATAAAAATAAAGGGAAGGAGAAAGATGTGCTGTTAACACTAACCAAAAGAAAGCTCAGGAGCTATATTAATTTCACACAAAGCAGACTTCAGAACAAGGAAAATTAGTAGGGATACAAGAGGGGCATTACATAATATAAAGGGCTCATTCTCAAGAAAAATGCAACAACCCTTAATGTTATGTGACAAACAAGAGTGCATCAAAATATGTGAGGCAAAAACTAATAGAACTGCAAGGAGAAATAGATGAATCCACTATTAAAGTTGGAGACTTCCATACTCCTTTGTTAGTAATAGACATAACAGGCAGAATATAAGGACACAGTTGAACTGTACAGCACAATCATCCAGAAGTACTGAAAATACAATTTTAAAAGACAGCAAAAAGAAAAATAGTCTGAAAGCACTCTTACGAACTAAAAATAATCATAATTTAACTGTTCCCATAGTCTAGAAAACACTACCGAATATTGTTGAGATATTAGAAAACAATTATTGGACAGGACGAAAGAATCACTAACGATTAAAAATACATGATAAACTAAACTTCATCGGAATTAAAAACTTCTCTACTTCACAAGGCACCATTTAGAAAATAAAATATTCAAGCAGGAGAACAGGGAGAAATATTCACAGCACATATATCTGACAAAGTTTTTATCCAGTATATATAAAGACCTCCTACAAATCAGCAGTAAAAAAGGTGAAACAACCCAATTTTTTAAATGGGTAAAGACTAAAGAAGATACTTCAAAAAGAAGTTATTTGAATATCTAAGCAGACATGACAAGGTTTTCAACGTCATTAGTCATCAAAAAATGTAAATTAAAGCCATGAGACAGTATTTCACACACTCTAGAATGCTTGAAATAAAAAAAAAAAATTAACACCACCATGATTAATAAGTTCCATGCCTGCCAGTTTTAATAGGAGCACACTGTTGACAAGATTTGGTTACCTTTCCATGGCTTCAAATCTCATGCCTGTTAATCGCTTGACTCTGTGACTGCCAGGGAACTGTCTTCTTAGCTCTTGAAGACAAAACTGAAAAAAACAAGAGTTGAGTAGTAATTACATTATTTATACTAAATGGGCTATAATGAATGGCCTATATAGTCTTCAATGTGTTTTCTTGAATAATTTCATTAGTGTCATCTAATAACGAAGTGAAATTAATCAGTAACAATGGATTGAAATAAGAACTACGGCATTATAGTGAAGGCAACAAGCAGTTTAGAAACTGATCATGCTCTTAACCAGGAAATAAGCAGATTATGAGAATCGCTAATAACTCTTCAAGTACTAATATCATATTATTCCTCCTTAAAAACTACTTCTACGCGTCAGGCTCCTACTTAAATGATAACAGCGCTTGGCGTTTTCTTCCTAATTGCAGCATAAGCATTCTACTGGTAAGAACTAAGTTTTTTAGTAGTCATTTCAAGTTCCTAGCAAATAACATTAAGTGTTTAATTTTGCCCTGTTGAAATTTTATATTAATCCATCAACCTTCCTTTTTTTTTTGTTTTGAGATGGAGTCTCACTCTGTCACCCAGGCTAGAGTACAATGGCACGATCCTGGCTTACTACAAACTCCACCTCCCGGATTCAAGTGAATCTCCTGCCTCGGCCTCCCAAGGAGCTCGGACTACAGGGGCCTGCCACCATGTCCAGCTCATTTTTGTATTTTTAGTAGAGATGGGGTTTCAACATGTTGGCCAGTCTGGTCACGAACTCCTGGCCTCAGGTGATCCACCTGCGGTGGCCACGTGCGGTAGTCTCCCAAAGTGCGAGGATTACAGGCGTGAGCCACTGCACCCAGTCAATCAATCATCCTTTCAATCAACATATCCTGATTTGGGGGTCAGAAAATGCAGACATTAAACGGACGGAATACCAAGTTTTTTGAACAAGTATCCATAACTGACTCATCAACTTGACTAAATAATCAAATATTTGCGGAGTAACTACATTCTCTGCAACATATGAAGGATTATAAGTTTTGGAAGTCCTAGAAATGTTAAAGATTATACAAATGGTCCACTGAAGCATATTAATGCATGTGTGACCAAAATAATGCTATTAACTACTGATGAAACTATTAACTGGTAATAAAATAAGTTTTAATATGAATTGGAAATACAGCTTCAAAGTTTGTGGCTGAAATTTGCCACAGTAAGAAAAATATTCAAGTTAGTCAAAAGTGAAGATATGTTCATTTATTTTTTTGATATCAAGCAAAATCATATTACTTGGTCAGTCAAGCAAGCTAACTGTATAAATAATCTTAACCATTAAAAAGTTACTGTTTAACTGGATATACTGCTTTATTAATCAACAGTGTTTTCTAATTTGACTTCCTACTTTATTAAGTGATATTTGGCTATTTCAAAAAAAAAATAAAAACTTCTCTCAAGATATAAAACTGCCACCTCTATGAATATTCAAAAGACTATGTCTCATAGGTTCTGAAGGTAATCCAACAAAGGTTTTGTGGAATGTTTTCACCACTAACAGCTCCACTAGATTTACATGTATGGCCAACCCAACCTTGAAAAGGATAATACTAATTCAGATGTGAATTTTTTTCAGGTATTTCAATTTTTTGTTTTTGTATATTTTCTTTCAGTTTAAATACAGAGGCAGCATGAAGTGGTACTTAAGAATTCAAGATGATAGGAACAACAGAACAGACGCCTCTGCTTTCTGATTTACAAAATAAATATAATAATAACATCAAACACAAATCAAATCAATAAATAATTATGAAGGCTCAATAAAAGCATGATGTAAAGCATTTAGCTTCGTTCCTAGCACAAGTCCAAAAACACAGCTATCATTACAGTGTTATTTTAAAAACTATAGTATTAGGTTTGTTTGTTTTGAGACGGAGTCTTGCTCTGTTGCCCAGGCTGGAGTGCAGTGGCACAATCTCAGCTCACTGTAATCTCTGCCTTCCAGGTTCAAGCGATTCTCCTGCCTCAGCCCCCAGAGTAGCTGGGACTAGAGGTATGTTCCACCAAAACTAGCTAATTTTTTGTATTTTTAGTAGAGATGGGGTTTCACCACATTGGTCAGGCTGGTCTTGAACTCCTGACCTCAGGTGGTCCACCTGCCTCGGCCTCCCAAAGTGCTGGGATTACAGGTGTGAGCCACCTCACCTGGCCAAACATTATTAGTATTTTAAGTTATGTTCTATACATCAGGATTTTCTATGTTTATAATATTGTGTAACAGTACTGAACATTACATTCTATGAAAGTCATTCAATAACACAAAAGATAAAATTGTTTTAAACTTTCTTACTTTAAACTCTATAAAATAGGATAAGTTACCTACTAAGCAGACAAATTTCAGTAACTAAATCTTTTCAGTAAAACTAGGATACTAAACAGCTACTTCTCAGGACTAATAAAAAGATTTAAGATACTTTGTCCTAAAATATCCAGTTAGTTCCACTTACTGTTCAGAGTAGCACTCAAAACCAGCTATAGAAAGCATTCCATATAAGCCATACATTAAGTCTTAACTATGGTATACAATTCATGAAGCAAATTAAATATATACTTCATTTAAATACCTACCAATGCCAAGTCATCCCGACCATAGTCTAGTGCTGCAATCATCACCTGTTCATATATGATCCAAACTAGAAACATACAGAGGGGGGAAAAGAACTAAATTTAATATTAAAAAATAAAACAAATGGAAATTAATGAATTCTAGTTTCTGATATTTCTAGAAAATATTACTTATAACTGAAAATTGATTTATTGTATTATCTCTGAAACTAAGGAAAGAACACATTCTTACATGTTTCAGCAGTGTAAAATATATTAATATAAGGTTAAAATCTCCAATGATTTAATACTTTTACTGTTCTACAAGAGTCCTTAGACAATACATTTCGGTCAGACATTTGCAGCCCTTTGAGCTTTAAAACAAAATGCCTATTTGATAGCTTACTACTACCAAGCAATTATAAATCCATCTCAAAATAAACTATCATTAAAAGTCTTGGGACGAAAAGTCACAAAGAAGATTAACATGACAAGTAGAAAAATCATAAATGAAAGAACAGTTAAAAAAAAAAAAAAGGCCCATAAATGAGACATGTACTGAGCCTGAAGGTAATAAAAGAACTTACTATCATCTCCTAGCTTAGAAGCATATTCATTAATTAATTCTTCTCCAACTTCTACAATTTGCTCACTATTTCGTGAGTTTTCTTCTCTCCATTTTCTCATTTTATCTCGCATTTCTGAAAAAAGTAACATGACATTTAAGTGTATATGTACCCAGACACATGCATACACATCAGATAGATGTCAAAAACCTGACAAGACAAAATCAACTTTTTAGGTAAGGAAAATAAACTCACAATCATGTAGAAGTCTGTGGTAGCTCAAATTTGATAAAGTAGAAAATTAACTGAACAAAGGCAACAGATCCTTTAGAAGGCTGACACAGCATTACAACTGGTATTACGACTATCTTCAGAAGTGATGAATGGGCCAGGCATGGTGGCTTATGTCAGTAATGCCAGGACTTTCGGAGCCCAAGGCAGAAGAATCACTTGATCCAGGAGTTCAAGACCAGTCTGGACAACATGGCGAAACCTTGTCTCTACTAAATATACAAAAATTAGTCGGCTGTGGTGACACGCACCTGTAATCCCAGCTACTCAGGAGGCTGAGGCAGAATAGCTTGAACCCAGGAGGTGGAGGTTGCATGGGCCAAGATCGTGCCACTGCACTCCAGCTTGAGTGACAAAGCAAGACTTTGTTTCAAAAACAAAAGAAAACATAAAAAACAACAAAAAAGAGGCATGATGGCACCTGCCTGTGGTCCCAGCTACTCAGGAGACTGATGTGAGAGGATCACTTGAGCCTGGAGGTTGAGGCTGCAGTGAGCTGTGATTGCACCACTGCACTCCATTCTGAGCAACAGAGCAAGACTCCTGTCTCTTAAAAGTTGAAAAACGACAACAGGCAAATAACAAAGTAAGTTATTCTACACAGAAAGAACTACTGGTAGTTCAGAATTAAATAAACACACTAGGATCGGGAAATGAGTGTACAAGAAGGTGAGTGACTTTCTTGGAAGATGTTTATTTTATACTAAAGAACTTTTAAGTTTGTTTTTAAAGGTATAGAACAACTAAAAAATACTGAGCAAAAGAAAAGCAACACAATCATAGCTGTCTGACAGGGAAAATCATTCTGACGCAAAAAAAAAAAAAAAACTAGAATTTTATATTTTATGTGTCAATTTTAAAAATAAATAAATTTGAAACAAAAGCAAAAACAAAAAGCCCCAGAAGATAAACTGGAAAGGAGTAAACAGTTCAAAGAAAAGAGGTTGTATTAGTCTGTTTTCACATTGCTGATAAAGACATACCTGAGACTGGGCAATTTACAAAAGAAAGAGGTTTAACTGGACTTGCAGTTCCACGTGGCTGGGGAGGTCTCACAATGATGGCAGAAGGCAAGAAGGAAAAAGTCATATCCTAAGTGGATGGCAGCAGGCAAAGAAAGAGAGCTTGTGTAGAGAAACTCCCATTTCTAAAACCATCAGATCTTGTGAGACTCATTCACTATAATGAGAACAGCATGGGAAAGACCTGTCCCCACGATTCAATCATCTCACAGTGCGTCTCCTCCACAACACATGGGAATTATGGGTGCTACAAGATGAGATTTGGGTGGGGACACAGAAACAAACCATATCACGGGTCATGGAGGACACAGAGTCTACTGGAAAGAACATGGACTTGATACACTTGGTTTGAATCTAAACTCCATCTTTTACATGACCTTACATAACTTACTGAATCTGTACTTAGTTTCCAATAACAATGAATAGATAGTATTACCTTTAGCTCAGGGATGAGCAGTTAAGATTACATAAAATATATATATATAAAGTTGCTTGGTTAGTACAACAGTTTGGATATTTTTGTTTTTAAGTTGATTTTGATTACCCTTAGATAAGGGTATATACACTTACCAGTTCTTCATAGGCATCACTACTGTCTTTCACCCAGCTACATGTATTTTCCTCACCTGCTTGGCCTTTGAGTTTAGGAAACCAAACACTAGAAAATTCATGTAAAGCATTTTATAAAATGTGAAGTCCTAGAAAAATTCTAGTCATCTTTATTTAAAAAAAAAAAAAAAATCTGATAACTGTTTCAATCTCTCACAAGAAATAAAGGCTCTTCCCTCACTCTTTCCTCAAAAGTGGCTTAAAATTTTCATTTTACCCTTTCACCCTCCTGCAAAAGGCCCGCTCCTCAAAGTCAAGGTCATTTTATTACATACTATGTAAGTAAGCTGCTCACTGCTTGCTTGTACATTTTAACTACTGTGCAACCCTGTGGGATGAGCTAAACGTCAAAGGTTAAGAGAGTGGCTATGATTGTTCTGTTTATTCCTTCCATGACAACTTGCATGAGGTGCCACTGCAGTGAGGTGACCTCTGAAAGATGGAAAAATATGTCTGCTACTTAATTCTGCTGATTTCTTTAGTCCAAAACTACTTCTGCCAATCCTGTATCTTTTCCACTTCATTTTGTTATATATTCAGAAATACCACTTACAGATTCATTTACATAAACCACTATATTCTTTTAAAAGGTTGATAACTACAGGATAATAAATTCTAAATTATTCATAGTCCCATAGAAGTATCTAGTCAGATTGGCTGCAGGCTGTTGGGAACAGCTATTCTAAAAGAAAAGGCAATCGGATTTGAAAAAGGAAAGCGTTATTTTAATGCACACAGAGCTCCAGGAGAAGTATTTTTCAAACTGTGTATTACAATTCATTAATAAGGTATAAAATCAATTTAGTGGATTTCTTCCAGAATATATTGGTAGGTGAGAGGGTGCGGGGGAGAATGAAACAAAATGAACAAAATGCAATACTCATAAGAATAGTTTGTAAATGAAACTTTGGTTTCAGTTTATACATACACTCAAAGATTCATGTATATGTATACTTAATTGAGTACGAGTTAATTTGTAAAAGGTATTTCTCATTGTGGAAAAACACTCTTGGAGGAAAGAGAACACTTTTTTAAAGTATAACTTCTAAAAACAACAGTCTGATACACAGTCACAAACATTAAAATATGATAGCTGAACACAAAACAAGAAACACTGTTTGTGTATGAAAATATAACTTTTACAAAACAAGCAACATTTTACCTATAAACACCTTAAGCTACATACCTTACTTAGCTGACCCTGCCACACTCTTGAGTGCTGCTATAATAAATACATTTGTTGCACTATTAGTCATATACTATTTTTAGAAATGCCTTAAGTACATTTATCTAAAAAGTTATTCATAAAAATAAAACTGTCTTGAAGAAAACACGTTTTCACCTTTGATAGTTCATTACCTCAAAATCACAGCATCCAAAAATCAAGTCATCTTCAATTCCCAAAAATATGGCTTCCCTTCCCAATGTTCACATTTCTGTTAATTCTACCTTCTGTTAATACTACCTGACATTCCACTTTTAAATGCTGTTTCTGACTCCTACTTTGGTTATCTAAGTCCTGTGGACTCTTTTGAAGTATTTCTAAGATTTACATCTTCTAGTCTATTTCCACTGCTATTATCCATGCCCAGGCTTTCATCACCCCATGCTAAAACTGCTAGGATAGCTTCCAAACTGATCTCTCCACCCAAATTCAATCTGTAAATTACTAGCAGATATTTCTAAAGATTTACTTCATTACAATTTAAATTCTTAAGATACCCAATGATTTCTACCTTCTTTGAGGCAGTATGGTGTATGACTGGAACTTTAATTCATTATTCAACTAATACTTACTTCTTGGAGTAAATATTGTTCTTCTTCATTCAACTAATATTTACTAAATGCCTACTACGTGTCAGGCCTGATCTGGGCATTGAGGATAAAGAAAGAAAAAGATACCCTATATACTCATAATGCTTAGAGTCTAATAGGTAAAAAGATGAAAATCCACATAACTTCAGATAGTGAAATTACACAAATAAAACTAAAAGACCATATGATAAAGTTAGGAGACTGGGAGAAAGGAGGAGCTTTTGGAAAGGGTGGTCAGAGAAGGTTCTCTAAGAAGGTTATTTTCAAGTTAAGAGAGGAATGAGAAGGAGCCAACCATAAACAGCAAATCTAAATTCTGGAGAAAGAAACTAATTTGGCATATTCTAAGAATAACAGAATGACAGCCTAGGTGGAAGAACTTAATTAGTTAATAACTCAGTGGGGGAGAAGTGTATAAGAGCAGCTCAAATCACAGGACTCCCTTTTACTAGCAGTGGGATATAAGACAAGTCATTTCACCTCTCGCTTGCTTCCTCATCTATAAACTGGAAATAAAGCCTATTTCATAAGATACGTGTGAGGATTAAAAGAGATAATGTACACAAAATGTTTCATATACTATTTTCATTATTATTACCATTACTACATACACTAGTGGATCAAACTTCAAAAACAAGCTTCATGTCCTAGCATTCACCCACTGAACAAACAAGCATTTACTGAGAGCTTGTTTTCTGATTCTCACCACTATGGCTGGTCAACGGAAGGACTGAGAAGATCTCTGTGTGTAAAGAATGTAAACAAGCAATTAAAATATGATGGAGAGATTAATGAGGTTCAGTAAAAATTCTCTTAATCATCTTCCGGTTAGAATCAACTCAAAGAATTGCTTTCTGCAAAACTTAATAATCGTGGCCACTAAGATTTTAGAAGCTCTTAGCTAATAAGTCATATCAGCTAGCTCTTGGTTAACTGTTTCCAACAGTTATTACATTTTAAAAATTTAGCTACCTGTATCCAAACCAGTTCATGCCAGTTAAATTTAATGTAATTATATAGTATAATGAAATATTATAAGCCAAAGAAAACTTAACTGCGAAAAGAGACTGGTTTCTAAAAAACAAAGTTGGATGCTTTGAAAAGACTCCATAAAAATAAATAGCTCTGAAAATCTGCTGTCATATTAAATATGGAGACTTAATTTAAAATATTATGAGAAAGATAACAAAAATCTAAAAGATTTGTGCACTGAAGCTTCTGTATTAGGGACTTTATGTTCCTGCTCCACATTAAAGAAAGCAAAACCAAACATGGTTTATTAAACATGACAAGGAATTTCAATCAGCAGATCTCTACCAAAGAAAAGGCCCTGTTCTATATCAACATGCAAAAGTTTAATGAAAGGAGCCATTGATTTTTTTCTTTTTGAATTTAGGACCTTGCCTCCCATCTATATACAAAAAAGAATTCTGAACTCCTTAGTCTAGCATTCAAGACACCAACCTACCTTTCTAGTTTTTACCTACCTTTCTAGTTTACCTAGAAAGACATTTTACTGGAAACATCTAGTGACGTTTGCAAAGGATATACTTCATTCCCCTACATATCTGTACTTTTCCAGGGTTTGAAGTCTCATAGATCTATATCTTAAAAGGTGAGCAGAAGTTGTTTTATGAATGAGGGGAGGTACACAGTGCTATCTACATTTCTAGGGAAAATGCAGAAAAGAATTAAGTGGTGACAGCAGTGATGTTGGAGGCAGAAGGCAAAAGGAAGATGATGAGTTCAGTTTTGAGTTTTATTAATTGTGAAACATCCATTACATGTGCTCTGTAGAACACTGGAAATATGGATCTTCAGTTTACAAGTGAAATTTCAGGGCATGTCCCTTGAAATCTGGGGCCTTGCCTGTCTTACTTAGCACTATACCCTCAAGAACTACAACAGTGCCTGGTGCAAAGTACTCAAATATATGTTTAATGTGTTATTTACTATATAGGCTAATTGATAGCTAAAATTGGATGTGGATAAGATTGCCCACAGATATCATTTAATCTATTTTAGGTATCTTCAAAGCTAATGAGAACTTTGAACCATCTTTTCCCAGAACTATGTATGTTTACACATGCACTAAATTTTGCATGATTTCATCAGACCATATGACACTCATGCTTGCATCAATTTAAAGTCTATTGATCTCAAACTTAAAAACCACCAATAACAGATTAAGACGATGACTAAGAAACACTGAAACACCAAAAAATGAGCAAATGGATGTACAGAACTCAACAAAGGAAAGGCCCAAAAAGAAAGGAGAAAACAAGAAGAATGTCATTAAGAAAGCAAAGAAAGAGTTTTCCACAGAGGAGTGACCTACAATAGCAAAAGTAGTAGAAGTATACAAAATACATGTTATTATTAGGTCTCCCAGAGATCTTAGTGGAGTGGTAGGGCATGGAAATCAAATTGAGGATGAAGGTCTCAATAAAAAGAGAGGAAGTAGGGGCAGTGAACATAAACAACTAAATTGCTCTCAAACATTTCTCATACATTTTTTGTTTTCAACAAATACTCATTTAATGCTTATTATGTGCCTGGCATTGTTCTAGGCATCCTATCCATGTCCTGCCCAAATATCATATTCTCAAGAAACTTGAATATACTCTCCTTACAAGTCTAAATTCTCTTTCCCACCTCCAAATGTCTAATAACTTCCCTACGTAATAAGTATTAATCACTTTCAATTGGCTGAAGAAACAAACCAAATAGTCTATTAGTAGAGTCTAACACAGATGTGGAAGTGTTAAACTTACTACATAGGTCTTTTATAAACAAATGATAAATTTTCCTATCACAAGAATTACAGCACTCTGAACTAACCAATTCACGACACTGTTCAGTGGAACTCCTAAGGACACACCTCTGACACACACGCCCCCAAAAAATCTGAAAACACTATCCCTGAGAATCTTCCCATCACCCTTCATCCTAAAAATTTGTTATCATAAGTCTCTGAAATAAAAATCTAGAATACTCTTTTCTTAAAAGTCCCTTACGTTAGAATTTTAATTCTGGAAAGGTCTAAACCTTCACTTTACTAGTGAGCACACTGTATCCTATTACTTAAGCAAGTTGCCTAAATTCATCTAAGATACTGAAACCTTTATCTAAGATACTAAAGAAATTATTTCAACGCTAGAAAAATGGTTTATAATATTTTCTGACAATGTGTTAGTGTTTATTATTAATCCCACTAACAATTCATTTAGTCAACAAATAATTACTGAGCTCCGTCCCCATGTGTCAGGCTCTAGGGAAGTGACAGTGAAGAAACAGGCCTGGTCCCTTTCATCTTAGAAGAGACAAAATTTTAAAACAAAACACAATTGAGTAAGTGCTTCAATAGTATGAGAACAGAATATATAACCGAAGGATTACAGGTGTGTTTTGTTGCTTGATTTTGTTGTTTGGGTTTTTTCTTTTTTTCAATTTTGGTGGGAGATGAGGAAAGGGAAGTGGGCAGTAGAGTGTTCAACTAAGGCTTTTTTGTACTAGGTGAGCTTTGTGGGGAATTGATAAATGATAAAGTTTAATGGGGGCAAGAGTGAGGCAAGGAGGGAAGAACACTCCCAGTGGAAGGACTAGCATGTGCCAGCTTTAAGAAGCAGCATAGCAATTTTGGGTATTCAACAAAGGCCAGCATAGGCAGCTCACAAAGAGAGAAGGAGAATGGCTCAAAATAAAGGTGGAGACATGGACAATGGCCAGATCACAGAGGAGGGACATAATCATATTAGTACTAGCTAATAATAACACCTCCTTTTATATAGTACTTAACAGTTTACGAAACACTTAAAAATGTTTCTTTTATTCCTACAAATTTGTGTAGTAATTATTTATTCCAAATCAATTACATCAATCCTCTTTAGAATGACCACAGGGTAAGGTCCAAGTTACTCAGTTAAATCACCTTGTCTGTTGGTAGCATAGTTACTTGCCCCTCAGGATTTTATATATGCTACTACCACCTAGGAAAGCTATAATGAACATACCTTCATAATAGCAATTTCTAAAAATTATATAATATTTAAAACAGTTTTTTAAAAGCATTAAAAATAACAGCCATTTATCTACCATCCAGCTTATGGAAGATACTCTGACACAAGCCTTTCAAAACTGTGTGTTTATAGGTTTGTTTTCTCCATTAGATTGTGAATTCCTTGGAGGTATGGACTGTGTGTTGATAGATCCAAGATTTTGCACTAAGAAATCAACACTGTTGTTTAATATAATGGAATCCCTCAATTCAGGTATAAATACTGAGATTCACAACGTGCTAGAGGCCGCAAAGCCAACAAATCATTTAATTCAGTTCAAGTACAAAGGAATTTTGCTTTATTGGTAACGGATTTACAACTTTATAATACCTGATACATTTATTCACGATAAAACAGAAAATATAACTTTCACGTTTTCAGGTCATTATTAAAACATCCCAAGAAGGCATTCGTTGAACAAACTAGCTACTGAAGTCTCCTGTATTATGCTAAAAGCTGGAAATATGAATTCCAATTACACAAATTCCACGCCTTAATGAAACTCAAGTTTCTTAAGCACACAGAATTGATCCAAGGTTTGGCTGTTCCCAGATTCAAAGAATATATCCCACTCTAGATCAACTAAGGATAGGGAAAAGTGACCATCACACGTAAGCACGTACGTAGACCAGAGTTAATCAGTTATTTTTCCCTTCAGAAAAAAATCTACTAGTAGGGAGTAAGAAGGAGGTTGTGTTGTGTGTGTAAACGTGTTCTGAGATGGAGAGGGACAGAGACTAGACTAAAAGGAAAAGAAACTGGAAACCCAGGTTTAAGGAGAAAACTAAATGTAGATTGGCATATGAGAATCACATTTGTTCACGCATCTTCTACACAGCTTTTCTGCAAACAGCTGTAATCCTTACATAGCACTTAGTAAAGGGCCTTAGAGGCCCTGTGTTTCTTGGCTCCAAAGAAGCTTCAGTAACCACCTATTCCGCCTCTTCCGCACCGCCCAGCAACCACGGTTAGAGTGTGACAACCCTAGCCCCAAGTCCCTCCCGCCCGCCTCATAAATAAAAGCGGCCCTGGGCTGCTGGACTGGCGCGGAGGAGGGCAGGTCAACCGATGAGCAGACACCGTGGGAAACGCCGCGGAGTACGCGCCCGGGCCAAGGAAGGGGTCAGCCTCAGCCTCCACCTCAGCTTGGCCCGTCCACTGAGGGCTCTGGTACCAAAAAGAGACCGGCGAATCCAGCTCTCCGAAGGCAGCGGGTACTCCCGAACGGCTTCCCAGCGCTTTTAGTCTTTCCGCACCCGTCCCCACCCGAAGTTACCTTCCCAAGTGACATCGTAAAGCTCTGAGACCTTCGCCATCTTCCCAGAACCTAGAAGCAGCGGGGTGAGAGGGCGGGGAGACGCAGTCACGTGACGCTCCACCGGGCGGTGGAGAGTTACGTAGCTTTTTCTCATTGGCCAAGAGAGCAGAGGGGGCGGTATCCGCCACACACGTGCACGCGGCTCTGCGGAGGGGCTTTCGGGGAAGGGGGCGGAACAAGATGGGCGGAGCGAACTGGACGGTGGGCGGAGCGAGGTGGGCGGTCCGCGGTGGTCCCGGAATCTGAGGATACTCTGGCTGCCGGCAGGGCGATGGTGCTGGCTCGGCTTGAGGGGTAGGGGTATGTGTGTGAGTGTTTTGTTGTGTGTGTATGTGCGTGTGTGTTTTGTTTTTGTTTGTTTGTGTTTTTTGCCGTGGATTTTTAACAAATGCTGGGTTTTTAGTGTCCGCCAATCCTGGCTTTTCAGTTTTTTTCTACGTAGGCGTGTTCATTCTCTTCACACTCCTTTAAGTACCCTTATTCTCTTCATGGCCGGCCGCAGTGTAGCCTTCTGCACGAATTCTTTATTTGTCGCCAACTTTCCTCCTTCCCTAATGGGATTTGCTTTCCGTTCACTTTTTAATCGACTAAACGGATAAACTCCAAAGTTTTGAGGGAGTAAGTGGGATTCTTCCTTTGCGCTTTGAAGTTCCCTTGAATGCCCTCGTGCTAGCTTGTACCCTTCTTTAACGCTCCTCGTGCCTGTAATTGCTTCATCCATGTCTGCATGCCACACTAGGTTTGAAACTGTCGCGAGTAGGTAAGAATGAGACCTTCACAGTTCCTGAACTTCGCTCCTCATTACTCCTGGGTGTATGGGGCAGCCTCCTTTCCCACCAGACGAATTGCTTTTAGGAAACTTTGAACGTCGTAAAGGGGCAGCCTTCCCACCAGACGAATTGCTTTAGGAACTTGAACGCCATCTCCTAGACTTAAGTGAGGAAGTGTTTGGACAGGAGGCAAAAATTTGAGGATGATAAGCATATATTTAGTATTTGAAGCAAGGGGGACATGAGATTGTAGAGGAGGAATATGTAAGCTGAGGAAAAATTCAAAATTCACTGCAATGCAGCCATGAGTTATGGGTCAGTGAAGAAGGGGCATTTGATCTGAGAAGTAGAAATAATCGATCCCATACAAGTCAAAAAGAGGGAGGGTTTTTTTCTCAGCTTTATTGAGGTATAATGGACAGAAATTGTGCATATTTAAGGTATACAAAGTAATGATTAGATGTATATGTACATTGTGAAATGATTACCACAAACAAGCTAATTAACACATCCGTCACCGTACATATTTCCCGTACGTGTGTGTGTGGTGAGAACACTTAAAAATCTCTCAGCGAACTTCAAAGTGTACAATACAGAATTATCACTATAGTCACCATGCTGTGCATTCGATTTCCAAAACATATTCATCTTACAACCAAAAGTGTGTACTAGTTGACCAACGTCTCTCCATTCCTCACCTGTCGGCTCCTGTCAACCACAGAAGTTTTTTTGTTTGTTTTAAAAAAAAAAAAGACATCAGGTCATCTACCACAGAGAAGTCGCTTAACAACAGAAAAGACTAGTGAATTTATACACTTGGATTGAATTCTGAATGAGCTGGCATTCTTTCTAAACAGACTTTTTAAAAACCTTTCATTCAAAAAGTTAAAAAATACTCTACTCAGAAATTCACATGTTTTAACGCTCCAATAAAGCAACCTGGTGCAACAGGAAGAACAAGAACTCCCAGATCTGAATCCAGGCTTTACCTTTTAGTAGCTGGGTGACTTTCAGCTTGTATTTCTCTCCAAACATCAAAAAGGCTCATATATAAAAATCTAATAATATCTGTATAAAAAGAAAATAACGACCTTGTGGTGTTAATCAAGATGAAAACAGATGCTGCAGCTAAAGCCCCAGTGTGGCACTCTCATGGAAGTACCATCCTATGTCTAGAAATACTGTTTATATGCTGATCAGTCCCAAACTGATAAACCTTCCCAAAACCTAGTCTGGTTGCTTGACATACTCAGATGGCTAGCTGATACGCCTCTCAAAGTTAACATAGCCCACACAGAACTCTGGATTCCTGCTGTTACCTTCCATATTCCCACCTTGCTTTTCCCCGTCATAGGTGAGGAAACCATTTACCTAGTTGCACAAGTTAAAATTATTGGAAGTACCTTTGATTCCTTTTTTTGACACCACTCCCCATGTCTAGTCTATCAGCAAATTCTATATTGCACTTCCCAAAGTTCATCTGCTTTTCATATCTATTGCTACTACCTTAATCTAAGTCACAACCATGTCGCTCCTGAATGATTGTGATAGTTTCCTAGCCACCTTTGTTTCATTCTTGCTGTGTAAAATCTGGATTTTTTATACAACAATGCTACTGGTCTTAAAAAAAAAAAAAAAAATCAGACTACAGAAGTCCCTTGACGATAGGCCTCGAATGGCTCCCCATGGCAATAAAAATATACTTCAAACACTTTACCATGGTTTACAAGGCTTTACTCAGCCAGGTGACATCTGTCAACCTCTCCTACCTCATCTCTTATTATTCTATCTCTCCTCACTAGCCCGCAGCCATTCTCATCTACTTCCTATTCCTCAAACAGACCAAGATTCTATCTGCCTTGTATCTGGCATTTGCCCAGCTGTTTCCTTTTCCTAGAAACCATCTTCCTTTTGTCATTCATATCTCAGTTTTAAATGTATGTACTCATAGACCTCTCTTGACCATCCAATAAAAAGTAGCCCTTAGGTAATGTCTATCCATCATCATGACACTTATCACTATTGGATGTTTTGTTTGTTTACTTGCTTGCTTTCTGTATTTTACACCACTTTAAGCTGCTTCAGAGTACCAACTTTGTTATTTTAACCTTGGAACATCAAGCCTAGAAAAACACCTGGAGACAGTAAAAATGTTTATTGAATGAATGAGTCAGATTAAAAATGACAGCCTGTATTAATGATTATTAAGAATAACATTTCTTAATAGTACACATATGAACTCTTGTTTAGTTAAGCATAGGATATTTTCTTTTTATAGCCAATACTTTCCTAAAAATTATAAATTCAATGAATTCAGCGACCATACCAGTTCATTTTTATATCTCTCAGCCCTTACTAAAATATGTTGCGTACAAGAGCCACTTAATATTTTCACAAAATTATTGACACTTAACATTTGGTTGATTTGTTTGAGGGGTCTAAAGCCTCTAGGAAAGCCAAAGGAGGTCTTTTTTAAAGCCTTGCAATGGTTTTTAAAAGTTACAACTAATTGAGGGAATACATATTTTCTGATCACTTCAACTAAATATCCCATAGCTAGCTACGATTGTCTGTCAAGTGGTAAGCCATATGACACTGAGTTAAAAGTCATCATTTTCAGAATTTCTAAGCTGGAAAATAGAGTAATTTCATTTTTGAGTTAGAATGGGCTGATGATTCTTGAGAACAGTATTTTTCAAACTTCTTTTTCCTGCAACTCATACTAAAGGAATATGTTTTGCATTGTCACATAGTATGTGTACATGTGTTTAAAACTGAAACAAAATTTACAAACTAGCTTTGTCATGTGTCTTGTCCTCTACATTTTGTATTCAAATTTTGTCAGCTACATTTTATTTTATAAAACTACTGGTGTGGCACAGGAATGAGGTCATGACTCATAGTTTAAAAAACACCAATGGATATCGTCTTTCCTAACCTGGGACCCTAGCGTGAAATGATTTGCCCAACTTTCTGCCACTAGCAGGTAACAAAGATAGGTGATTCATATGGAGATCAGTTGTTTAGATCATAGATGAAAAATACAATATTGAGAAAAATATATTTAGGAGAAATTTTGTCACCAACAGTACTCTGAAGTGGGGAAAATGATTGCTTATAGATTGCAACATTTTAGATGTCTAATAAAACTTACCTTCCTCAGGCACACTTAGGAAAAAATTGGTATGTCAGTGACAAGAATTCTATATTCTTCTTTAACATTGTATAACATGTAATTATAACTAAATGAAAAAAATACCTTCTATAAATAAAACTGTAACACTGAAAACATAAACATCAATCTTACCCTCTGTAACTCCTCCTTTACAAGATGTCTTCAAAGTTTTGCCTCTCACCCTCTCACTCATTGGAAAAATTTTCATTCACATATGTTTAAAATATTTAATCCAGTTTTTCTGACTGAACGTTGCCCAATATTGGTGACAAATACCAAGGAAATGTCTAGGCATCCAAATATTAGGTTATATTAGTACTCACATTATGAATAAGATGTGTCAGACAGCACGGGAAGCATTATCTCACTTAGTGATATCAACAGCACAGTGAAAATGTCTGTAATTTTTTGTGTGAAGCTAAATTGTGATTTGGTTTTTTTCTTGCAAGATTATGTTTGAAGAGTTGGAATGACAATAAATCGGGATGAACTAGAGTGATACAGGAAAAACTTCAAATAAGCCCACATTTTCTTTGAGGTAGGATATAAGCCAAATTAGTCCACAGAGCACTTTAGAGTACATTTTTTTGTGGTTTACTTAATATCTTCAGACATTGTGAAAGACTAAAGCAACTTCTTAAATTTAATAAACTTTGTGGCATTTATACAACGTACATTATTTCACAGGATATAAGCCAAATTAGTCCACAGAGCACTTTAGAGTACATCGTTTTTATGGTTTACTTAATTCAATTAATATCTTCAGACATTGTGAAGGACTAAAGCAATCTCTTAAATTTAATAAACTTTATGGCATTTATACAATGTACATTATTTCACAGGATGGAACATAATACTATTCTAGTTGATTTTGCAATATTCAGCATCTTCATCAAACCATTTGCTTAGAATCTTCTGTCTGCTTTGTCCTAGTCTTAATCGTAGTGAATTAGTGTCCCACATTATGTAACACAGCTTGTAACTCCTATTTACTGTGATAGTTACCCATCACAGTAAATTGGTCTCACTATAACTCTCCTATAAAATTTACCAAAGCTTTTAAATTATGTCATTGTTTCTAATTAGTGGGTCATAACCATAATCCCTTTTTATTTAAGTGGAAATATTATTCA